AATTTATCCTAAACTTTTTTTTGTGACACGAAAAACCCCAAATTATGTCACTTATGACAAATTTATCATGAATTTTTTTTTGTGCCACGAAAAATCCAAAACTATGCCACTTGTGACACATTTACCCCACAATACTTTGGACCATGGGCATTTTCGTCTTTTTCCTTTTTCTATTTTTCTTCCTTTTTTTTTTCTTCTCTCTTCCGTCTGCCGGCCATGGTGGAGGGAAGCCGGCGAGGGCTGCCCTCGCCCGCCCAGGCGAGGGCGACCCTCGCCGGCATCGAGCGAGGGTTGCCCTCTCCAGATTCGGCGAGAGCAGCCCTCGCCTGAGTCGAGCGAAGTCGCCCTCGCCGGATCTGGCGAGGGCGACCCTCGCCTGGGCGGGTGGGGCCAGCCCTTGCCCAACGCGAGCGAGGGTTGCCCGACGCTAGATCCGGGGAGGGTCGCCCGACGCCAGATCCGGCGAAGGCAGCCCTCATCGGCTTCCCTCCGCCATGGCTGGCGGAGGGAAGAGAGAGAAGAAAAGAAAAAAAAAAGAAAAAGGAAAAGGACGAAAATGTTTATGGGCCAAAGTATTGTGGGGTAAATGTATTACAAGTGGCATAGTTTGGGGTTTTTCGGATCACAAAAAAAGTTCAGGGTAAATTTGTCACAAGTGGCATAATTTGAGATTTTTCGTGTTACAAAAAAAAGTTCAGAGTAAATTTATCATAAGTGACATAGTTTGAGGTTTTTGGTGATATTTTCTGATTAAAAAATTAGAAAAGAACCCAATTGAGAAAGAACAAGGAAGAAGAGATCTCATTAGCAAGCATTAGAGAGGCTGAAGAAGACTGACCGTGGTGACTATGGGTCTGCATAGCAACGTTTCTGTTCCCAGAAACAATTTCTGATCAGAAATAGTTTTTTCTATTTCTATTTCTTGGAACAGTTTCTAAGCAAAAAATAACGTTTAGTAACTGCACAAAATTTCTATTCCTGGAATAGAAAAAGAATAAAAACGCGTTTAGGGCGCGAATGATCCATTTCTATTCCATGGACGAGTTTCTCCCTTCTGGGCTACCGGCGAAGGACGGTGGGTGGCGATGGGGGGCGGAGGATGGTGGTTGGTCGGCGGCGGCAGAGGATGGCGACCGACGGTGGGAGGCAGTGGAGCACGGCGGTCAGCGGCGGAGCACGGTGGCGTCGGGCGGCGGTGACGGCAGCGGGGGGCGGCGGTGATGGCAGCGGCGGAGGGTGGCCAGCGTCGGTCGATGAAGCACGGCGGCCGGTAGCGAAGGATGGCGGCCGATGGTGGGTGACCGCCGGCGTCGGGTGGCCAGCGGGGGAGGTGGCTAGCGGTCGAGGGCAGCTAGCGCCGGGTGGTGGCCGGCGTCGGGCGGTGGAGCATAATGGCCGGCGGTGGAGGATGGCGGCCGGTGATGGTTGGCCACCGGCGACGGAGGATGGCGACCGGTGGTGGGTGATTGCCGGCGTCGGGTGGTTGGCGAGGGGAGGCGGCCAACGTCGGGCGATGGAGCACAGCGGCCAGCGGTGGAGGACGGCAGCCGATGGCGGGTGGCGACAAGCGTCGAGCGGCGGAGGACAATGGTCGACGACAAGAGGCGGCCGGCGGGCGGGAGACGGCCCGTGGGCGGGAGGCGGCCGCCGGGCGGGAGACGGCCCGTGGGCGGGAGGCGGCCGGTGGGCGGCGGCGGAAGGCGGGCGGTAGGTGGCGGCGAAGGACGGCGAGAGGCGGCGGTGGGCGGGTTGTGGCCGATGGATTGTTTCTTGTTTTTAGAGGATTCCAGAAAAAATCGTTTCTTGTTTTTGTTCCAGAAACAAAGAAGTAGATTTTTTTTGCTTCTTATTTTTGTTCCAAATCTATTCCAGGATCACTTTTTTGTTCCAGAAACAAAAAAGTAGATTTTTTTTACTAAACGGGTTTCTGTTTTTTTTCTGTTCCGGAAAACAAAAAAATAGAAAAAAAAAAGAAACAGAAACGTTACTAAACAGACCCTATAAGAGCCGTATCGCTTATAAGCGTAGATGTGGTCACCAGGTGGCAGATCTTTTGGGTCGACCTTCTTCCATATTAACTTCATTCCATCTTCAATTTCCTTCTTGATCTTGTTCATCATTTTCTTTTTCACCTCAGGTTCTTTTGGACTCTCTCTTGACTCTAATAGAAGACGGCACTGCCAAAGCCGGCACTGATATAGACAATGCCACGAGATGATCAATGCTTGTCCATCAAGTTTGGGGCTTGCTTCTCTGGACTGTACAGATGAGACAAAACTGGTCCGGTCACTGAGCAAGTCAGATTTTTCCTCTCCGCACACAACATTGGTCAACAGGTACCATTTCAGACATGCATGAGACTATCTCAACCAATAACCAAAATTCAACTAACAAAATTCCCCATATCACTCTTAAGGACCTGAAAAAGATTAGGATAAAAGGAGTAAGTAATCACAGCTCAATGAGTAATGTGTATCTCTTCTAAGCAGATCGACCATCCACCATGCATATTTACAAAACCATACCAAAACTCATTTAATTCAAATCCACGGTATATCATATGTACGAGGTCTAAAACAAGTTTTATCTTTTCAACAAAGCTTTATATATATATATATGAAATACTCATTTCCTCAACAATATCAAAACAAAATATCAATGGTCCAATCTATTGATCAATTTCAACAACTCACATATCAATAGTCTATTTGATTGATTAATCTTATCAATTCACATGTTGATGATCCATTCCATCAACTAATCTAATGCTCAATATTAAATAATTGACAAAGGCAGCCAAATTTACCTTCATTGGCTAAGTCTATCACCAATATCAGTCGGCGGTTCAACTCAGAAGGACGTCCTGACAACAGTATGCATACTCTACTCTCAATGGATTCTAATCATAGCAACATGAGCATAAATCTCATTCTCTAATAATCCCACAATCAAAATCATAATTCTTCTCATAAAACGGTTTCACAACTCAAATCAAATGACCTTTCACAACTCAATTTATCAAATATAATGTATTTCATAAAGCATTTCACAAATCAATACATACAACCTTTTATAAATCATACTCAAAGTCAAAAAAATTTCGTAATTCTTTCAAAAAAGGTTTCGCAACCCAAAATATATAATTATTCTCAGCTCCGTTCATCAAATAGTATATATATTTCAGAAGACATTTCTCACACCATTTCGAAATTTATTTCATAAACTAGTAACATTTCAAAATGCCTTTTAGGACTTGATTGTACCAATTTGATAAGTTTTAGGACTTGATTGTACTTTTTGAAAGTTTTAAGACTCAATTACATTTTCGTGATAAGTTTTAGGATTTCCAGTTTACTTATCCCAATTTTTTTAAAAAAAATTATCTGGGAGTCATGAGCTTGGCCTCGATGGACCTAGGCTCGAAAAGTCGGCAATCCGAGCATGGGCACAAGGGTTCGGGGCCTAGCCTCGATGGACCCGAGCACACGCACCGAGGATCGGAAAATGATTTTCGATTTTTGAAAGAAGAAATCATTTTCCTGAATTTAAGTTTTGATAGGAAAATATTTTCCGTTGACTTATTTTCCTAAGCGATCCAAACGTCGGAAAATGAGAAAAATATTTTCCTAAAAAATGTTTTCTGTGAAATAAACGGAATCTAAAATTCTCTTAATTTTATCGGCAAAAGTACACCACAAGTGCCATAACTTGTATACGGCGATCACTTTGGTGCCATAACTTTTTTTCGGATCACTTTGGTGCCAAGTCGGAGCAAAAGAGATCACTTTAGTGCCAATTTGGCCAGAAATCCGACGTGGCATTTTTTATTAATTTTTTACGCCGACGTGGCTCGCCGGAGGCTGAGTCAGCGTGTACAGTCAGCATTTTTAATTTTAAATAATTTTTTTTAGCGTGTACAGTCAGCATTTTTAATTTTAAATATTTTTTTTCCTTTTTTTTCTTCTTTCCTTTTTCTTTTCTTTTCTTTTTTTTCTTTTCTCCCCTCGCCGGCCGGTTACCTTTTTCTTTTCTTTTCTCCCCTGGGCGAGGGCAAGGCCGCCCTCGCCCAGCCCTTCCCGGGCTTCGCCCGGGAGCCCGGCCGGCGAGGGGAGAAAAGAAAAAAAAGAAAAGAAAAGAAAAAGGAAAGAAGAAAAAAAAAGGAAAAAAATATTTAAAATTAAAAATGCTGACTGTACACGCTGAAAAAAATTATTTAAAAAAAATGCTGACTGTACACGCTGACTCAGCCTCCGGCGAGCCACGTCGGCGCAAAAAATTAATAAAAATGCCACGTCGGATTTCCGGCCAAATTGACATTAAAGTGATCTCTTTTCTCGACTAAGCACCAAAGTGATCCGAAAAAAGTTATGGCACCAAAGTGATCGCCGTACACAAGTTATGGTACTTGTAGTGCACTTTTGCCTAATTTTATCTATTCTGTTTCTATTTGAGGAACAAACGTAGGACTAGACATGAAAAGGGTGCTTCTTAGGTCTGTAGTAAATAAACAGGACCGGTCCAGTATAAGACCGTAATTTAACTTAATCATCGTAACTCGTTCTCACTTTAACTAATAACTCACCTTTATGGACGAAAGCTTGACTATAGATTCTATGATCGTAACTTGAAAATGTTAGTACTCAGTAATCAAGTTATTGTAAATAACAAGTTAGTAATCATTTTTCAAATATTGTAATTTACCTCAAAGTTTCATTAAGTCAAATTTCCTTATATTTTTAAATTTTTCATGAAATATCGCAGACAACCTGAATTTATTGTAAATTTTGTTTGCTTATTCTTGGTAACTTAACTCAATGATCATAAAGTACAGTACTGCAACTCGAAGCAGGGGAATCGATCAATGCAAGTCAAAGAAGATCATCCTCCCTTTTCTCTTATCCTGTAATCTCTCAAAAAAGAAAATGAAGAATGTAATAATAACAAAGAAATGAGACACCCATGAATCGAAATGTTTCATAAGATTTGACAAAAAACGATTCCAAACGATAATAATTCACGAGCCATGATCAGCTTCAAAGGGAAAAGCCCTCGTCTGCTTTCAAACTTGCCCATCTTCTTCTTCGAAGCTCGAAAGACTTTTAAATTGTGGATGAGGGTAGATAAATCTTCGAATGGGAATCGTAAGAGTTGGGCCCAAGTGAGGCCACTCTGCCCATCTAATGGGTTCTTCTATTTTCCGCAGAGGGACGTGAAGAACAGAAAAGAAAGCAGAGAATTGGCAGAAAGTAGAGTAGAAGGCAGGATCTCTAACATGTGCGCTCTGAGCGTCTCGACAAGTCGGATTAACTTCGTTTCGTAGCGTTTGGTGAGAATTCAAACTCCTCATTCATTCAATCGAAGGAAATTTTTGTAGTTAAAGATGTAAATTCGGATCTATTTGAATTCTGAGTTGCTAGGTTCAATCTAAGAGTTAGTTTAGCTGCAGAAGCTTGTGGTAATGAAAGTTTATGGTGTCGTGGCGCCGTGAGATTTTACAAATGTCGATTTAGAGTTATGGCTTGGTTGGATTGAATTTTTGAAGTTGTGTGCTGCCGGAACCAGTTACTAATTACTGTGGGTGTTCGGCGCTGGTTTTCATCTGCCTCGGGCCATCTCTTAGGTCGGCCAAATTTAGGATCGAGCTTTCTTTTGACAGTAAGCTCGTTGGAATCGGAGTTCAGTAGATAGATATGACGTGGCCAAATTCGACGCGAGAGCTGCTCGGTAAAGCAGACAACAAATGGTCGTTTTGTCGCCTAATAAGTGCAGTTTAGTCGATTTTAGTTAAGGAAGTTATTTACTTAATTTTTTATATCAGTTTCTCGTTTAATTGATAGAATTTAAAGTTTGTTGGCTCGAGTAGTGTTCGTTATTTGGTTTCGCTTTTCCTTGATTCTTCTGCAATATTTTTTTTGCTTTCTTGTTTTGATATGAGCGTCTTTTTCACCATGACTTGTGCGTTTTTAAGATGTAATCTCCAGCTGGTCTTGCCCCGAGAATGCAGGTGTTTGTTGTATCCTTATCATAATTCTGAACTTCAAATTGTGATTTCATGGGTTAAAGTTATGATATTTGGTTGTTTTTGTTGGATATGAGTTAGCAAGTAGGAAATTTTGTCACAAAATTTTGGTTTTAGTTCCTCTTGTGGTTGGGCTGTGTTACCCTTCGGATTTGGTTGATGAATAGATTAAGTTTTGATGCTTTAGCTGGAATACTGAGGTAAAGAAAATTAGCAAGAAATTGAGACGAGAAATGAGAATAATGTGAGGCATTTGCTACGAGAATGAACATATCGGTCATGGTGAACTTATGGAATCTGTTTGATATGCATGATGGACTCAGTCCCAACAGTTCAAGCATTTGGGATGAAGGTCTGCTTAACATTGTGTCGGAGTTTCAATGCAAGAGCTTGAATCATAACTATACATCTTATAGATATTCTGCATGTTATACTAGTTATTGTGCTCCTGCTTTCTGAATAATCCTGAAATTCACACAATCCCCAACTTACAGACAAAGCGGATTATGAAGGAATATGCTTAATACACATGTCCAATAACAACTTCAGATTCTAACTTCCCTAACTAACTCTTTTCCCACCCTCTGACATATCTATAACTCAATTAGTTCCTCCTCGTCTCTAGCTCCTGTCTTCAGCCCTTGACAAATTTTTCACCTTTTTCTCTTCACTTGTGTAATCACAGGAGGACCAGCTGTGACTATTAAGCAGTTCATAATCTTCTGAGGATGGCCTGAGCAGGAACTTGCGAGGGAGGTCGAATGAATCTATTCCAAGTGGTTATTTTACTCCCACTTCAGAAATCAGAGTCTTTAGTTTTGCAGAGCTGAAAATTGCAACGAGAAGCTTCAGATCTGATACAATTCTCGGCGAGGGTGGTTTTGGTAGAGTCTTCAAAGGCTGCCTTGATGTTAAGGGGTCTTCCCAGAGCAAAAGAATGACTCCAATTACCATCAAAATGTCGAACCCAGAGAGCATGGGATTCAAAGAGTGGAAGGTAATCTTAGTTCCTCTCAGGAAAGCTCGGTTTCCATGTGCTTTGCAGTATTTAACGTTAGCACTACTGCATTTTTAGCGAGAAGCTCTATTATAAAGGTGGGAGAAGAATTGTGTCCAGATACGTAGTTTGTTTTAGAAAACTGAGAATGAGATGATAGATGTTAGTGACATTTGTTGTGGCTAGATTGTTCTGGTTTTGTGTGGCTAATTTCATAGGAAGCTCACTATCTCAGTTTGCTTCCTTCCTTTGGAGAATATACGCCGTTGCCCAACTGAACACATATTTCTGGGTGTTTTAAAAATGATGTGGACCAGATAATTCTGTTAGGATTGCAATTATTTAGGAGAAGACAGTGGTTGCTCCTCTTAACCTTTATTTGGGGTCCGTGACTTGTCCTATTGCCAGGAGCAATTCTAGCCAAGAGCTTGGAGAAAAGTCAGCTGACTTTTCCATTGTATAGTTCAAGTCCGCGTAAAAACATTAAAAAATCTTTTGAGGTTCTGTTTTCAAGGACTTCTGGGGTTAGTGCAAGCATTTTCCAGACATGCAATAGAAGAGTAAAAATTTGCTTATTCTGCCTCCGGTGCCGTTAATTTTCCAATGTTTATTTATCTCTATTCAAAATCAAAACAGCAGGCACAGTGCTGGGTGAAATACATGGCTCATATAAGTTTCCGTACGCATGTACCATTGGAGATTCAAATAGTCAATCGAGAAGGGTTGTTTTCACCAATTTGCTGAACAGATTGTCGGGATGTAAGGCGATGATACACAAATGGTTAAGGCATATTTGTTTTGGGATGCACATTTGAGTGGCCGTCTCAGGGTGTGTGGATTAGAAGGCAAGCTGCTGTAATTCCTAGGACCATTTGATCTATAGATACCTCAAGTGAGCAACTGTGCTCTTGAATAAATCTTGAGATTCCACAATCTTGTCCTATGGTTATTCTATCTAGGTTTGTGTAGTGCATATCACGTGTATGTGTCTTCCAGCAGCCAGACAGCATGGATGTGTAGGAAACAACTAGGAGGATAGAAGCTTTGCGAGCTTAGCTTCTATCTCTGAGGTTCTTGAGAGCTGGAGTAGAAACGTCTTCTGAATCTTGTTTATTATAGTAAAGTCCCGCGATAGCTTGTAAATTCTGAAATATAGGCACTCTTCTTGAATTTCAGAGGACCTTAGGCCCTGCATCAGAAACTATTGTGACTTATATCCTTGCCTTTTAAGCTAATCTCAGAGGGTGTCACTGCAATTTACCTGAAACATCAAATCCCAATATGAGTTTTGAGACATTAGAGCCACTTCTGGAATTTCTCAACATAGTTATAGGAACTAAAACCATCCTTAGTGAGGATAATCTATTTGTGGGAAAATATGATGGCCAGCCCAGAAATTGAGGTAATCTAATTGTTTTTTATTTTTTTAGTTGAAAGGTGACCTAATTGTTTGAGTCTGAACTTATGCTACTTTAGGAGGAACTGGACATAACTATTCTGCTTTGTTATCCTTGGAAGAATGAATAAGATCCTGCCATTTACTTTTTTATGAATCACCTGGTAAATGGAGGTCAACATTTTATTAAAATACAAGTCTTTTAAAAGGGAAAAAGATGAGGAGGGAAGGACTTAGCATCCACATAATACTACTTGGCATTTGAATTTTTCAAAATTGATCATCACTTAAGATGCTATTTTCTTTCTTGGAAGGTGGACATCTACCTTGTACTACACAAAAATGATTGCATTCTTTTCTATGATGTTGCTATCAGAGCTTGTATGATTATGTGTTTTAGACTCTACATGGTCACCCAAACAGCCATCAGTCTTATCCTGTATTGGCTTTGCCGATGTCAAAATCATGGGGGGGGGGGGGGGATGTTTACTTGCTTTATAAATAGGTTGAGCACTTAGATTTGCTTACTCCTTGGTTTATTTTCATGAATATCAGGTTGTGTATTTACAGTAAGGCATATGAAATTCAACCATGTGGTTCACATGTCAGGATTTACTATTGAACATGGGTGATGATGCATAATTGAATATTTCACCCCAGTTTCTATTTGATTATTTGCTACCATAAAAAATTCGTATGGTGCATCCACGGCAGATGGCTCTTAGAGTGCCATTGTAGGTTTCTTTCTGCGGGAGATGCCTGTTTGCTTCTTTATACTAAAAAAATGTGAAATTATGATGTTTTGCCCTATTTTGATATGAAAGTGACAACTTTTTGCAGTCAGAGGTGAACTTCCTGCGCAGCTTATCACATCCAAACATTGTCAGGCTAATGGGATACTGTGGGAGGATAAAGAACTACTGCTTGTCCATGAGTTCATGCCAAAGGGTACCCTGAAGAATCATCTCTTTGGAAGTAAGGTTCTTTCTTGGGCGATATATACATGCTTGCTTTAAATTTATGGCAAATATGATCTTTTCTTGGTTCAATGTACTACACATATCGCGTGTCTTTTCTGCTGCGGGGGGGCTCGGCCATTAAGGACCCGTTTGGCAACATGCCAACTAATGAAAATTTCTGTTTTTTTGTTTCCAGAATCAGTTTGGGAACAGAAATCCGTTTATTAAAATTTTTGTGCCCGGGCACAATTTTGCAAAAAATTAATCTCACAATCAGTTTTGGAACAGAATCAAGAAGCAAAAAAAAGTAGCTTCTTGATTCTAGAACAATTTTTCCGGAACTGATTATTTTTGGTTTTCTTCTTTCTTTTTTATTTGTTCTTCATCTTCTTCCCGGCCCACTGCCGGCCCGCCGCCGGCGACCGTCCACCGGCAACTGGCCACCGATGACCGACGAGGGTGGCCCTCGCCGACCCCGGCGACGGAGAGGTCGGCCTCGCCAGATCTAGTCGAGGTCGAGCCTCGCCCGGCCAAGGCAAGGCCGACCTCGCCGTCGCGCGGGGTGGCGACGGCGAGGTCGGCCTCGCCAGATCTGGGCGAGGTCGAGCCTCGCTTGGCCATGGCGAGGCCAACCTCGCCGTCGTGGGGGATGGCGACGGCGAGGTCGGCCTCGCCTTGGCTGGGCGAGGCTCGACCTCGCTTTCGCCGGGGATGGCGACGGTGAGGTCGGCCTCCCCAGATCTGGGCGAGGTCGAGCCTCGCCCGACCATGGCGAGGTCGACCTCGCCATCGCGACCGGCGGCTAGGGCTGCGACGCCCTCGCTGGCCCCAGCGCCGGCGACCGGCCATGGCCAAAGAAAAAAAAGAAAAAAAAAAGGAAAAAAAGAAAGAAATATTAAAAAATTCAAAATATTATTAATAAAAAGAAATTTTGTGTAGTTACCAAATGCATTTATGTTCTTTTTCTATTCTAAGAATAGAAATTTTGGGCAGTTGCCAAACGCCTACAAATGCTTAGAAATTGTTCCTGGGCACAGAATAAAAAAGAATCATTTCTGACCAGAATCTGTTCTCGGACACAGAATGGTTGCCATGCGCAGCCTAAACCACTTCCATGGGTCACGCGGCTTAAAATTGCAATAGGATTAGCCGAAAGCCTCGTGTTCTTGCACCAGTTGGACAGGCATATAATCTGCAGAGATTTCTAGCCCTCAAACATGTTGCTGGACTCGGTAAGTTTCATGTGCATTATTTAGATTAAATTAAGCAATACCTTTAAAAAATTTTGGTTCCAAAATCTTCTCCTGTGCTGATATAACTCACATATGGTTGCACCATCCCTCTTTTTGCAATCCCCTCCCCTCCTGCCATTCTGGAAGCAGCAAGAATTTGAAACCTTATCCTTTCAGGCTTTCATTCTGGCCAGGTTTTCGCATAAAACACGGGAATTATCATTGCATAGCATCTTCAAAACCTGGTTCACCAGATGTTTTCCTTATATTTTGGTCGGGGGGCTGTGTCGTTATGGTTGTCTAAAATTGCATATTGCCAAGCTGCTCTTTCTATAGTTAGTTTATAATACCAATCATTGGCCCAAGCTAAGCTTATTAAATCTGCATTGTCCAAGTTTACTCGTGTATAGATCACACTAGCAGTAGAAAAGAGACCTTATCCACTTTGACCTTTTGTTTGGCATGTGTTTCCACAGTGCTATAACGCCAAAATATCAGATTTTGGGTTGGCAAGAAAGCATCCAAATGAAGACAGATCGCATGTGACGACACTGGTTATTGGAACTTATGGCTACGCAGCACCCGAGCATATAGCCACAGGTAATATGATGGGATTTCCGAATTGCTTGGGGTGATCGTAGCAGAGAATATCGCACTTTGGACTTAGTTTGACCATGCCTAGATCCGTGTTTAGCAAATTCATGTTGGAGCATCACATCATTCTGGTTGAACCGGTCATCTGTGTGTGAAGAGCAATGGCTATAGCTTCGGGATGGCACTGGTTGAGCTATTGATGGGAACGCGAGCATACGATGCAAATCGTCCGACCGATCAGCAGATTTTGGTGGAGGAGGGGGTCAAACCTCATCTTTCTATAAGGAAATTGACAACAGTCATGGACTCTTGATTGGAAGGGTGATATCCTTGGAAGGATGTTCTTGACATAGCCACACTCGCATTCCAATGTCTCCGATATTCGCCCAAGCACTAGCCATCGACCAACAAATTCGTGGAAACCCTGGAAACAATCAGTTGCGGTCGATAGAAAGCACCGTTTCTCGGGCGATTGATCCCAACTTGGCAGTCTTTCTCAGACCCGGTCAGTAAAATTCTTTATTCATCACCTCCGCTCATTGCAGATTCATCATCTCTACTGTTTGAACTAGTTCGGCCAATGGATATATATGCTCGTCGCCCCCACGTTAGGCTGACCCGTACAGTACGGCGAAGCCGCTTTCGCGAGACCGGATAATATTGTTAAATTATTTCAGGAGGGATCTTTACGTGTCTCCGTATTTCAAATAGTCAAACCTAACACCAAAAGACAAGACATCCCGATGGGACCCGATATCTTTAATTATTGGTGGTCCCCAGGACGTGATTGTCAGAAGTTTCTCGTCATCGACAATTTGAGTTCCCCCACGGGTGGTGGGCTATCTTGGGATCCCGACATAACGACTTCTCGAAAAAGGACATTCGTCTGTTTCTCGAGAGACGGGAAACCGCCTATATTTTTTTTTGGTCGAATCGGCAAAGCGTCTAGAAAGCTGTCTTTTTTCTCTTTTTCTTTTGTCGTGTGCACCTCGTCCACCAGCACTTACCCAGAAAGACCCGAATAAAAAAAATATATATATATATATAATTTTTTAGTCAAGTACTACTTTAAGTCTCCTCCCTCTTTATTGAGTAAATATTCAGTAGTTGTACAGTGTCAAGTCAATTGCTGACGTGAAGTGCGTTTTTTACGCACGCCCAATAATAGACCGACACCTATTCACTGCGGTGGAATAAAAATTAAAAAATCAATTTCTCTCTTCTTCCTCCTCCATCCCAGCTCGCCGTCAAAACTCACGGCCATGGATGATGAAAGACCCATTCCGGTGTTGGTTGCAGTGGGGCCGAGCCTTTCCGACGGCTCCAACTTTTTTCTGTTTTTCTCCAACCTCTAGATCTGGAATCGCGTCCCTCGTCCATGGCCGTCACCACTTTCGCCGGCGTCGCTCTCCGAATCTCCAGATCTGACCATCCATGGCCGAAAGCGTTCAGGCGTGTGGCTTGCCCACGGCCGTCGGCGTCGTCGGCGTCGAGTAACACTGGAAGGGGCAGCTGCGCCGGCGACTCCCTGGTGGCAACAACGAAGGGAGGTCTGCAACTCCAACGAAGCAAAGAAGCTTCCGTTGTCGACATCGTTCGTCCATGGACGAGATTTGGAGCTCGCCATCAAAACTTGCGGCCATGGACACTCCGCGATCGCCAGATCTGTGGACGAGGCGCCTCGCGAGCCATGGACAAGCAAAGTTGCAGCCATGGATGATGGAGGATCCCTTCCGGCGTCGCTCGCGGTCGACCCGAGCCTCGACTCCGGCTCCATCTTTTTTCTGTTTTTCTCCAACCTCCAGATCTGGCATCCCGTCCCTCGTCTATGGCAGTCGTCACCTTCGCCGGCGTCGCTCTCCAATGGCTAGACTCTGAACGCCATGGACAATGGCTAGACCGGAAAGAAAAGTAGAAAGAATAGGAAAGTTAAAAAGTAACTAATTCATTCCAACTCAGCAACACGTGTCAATTTATTATTGGACACGTATAGAAAACGCACGCCACGTCACACGTAGCGCTTTGCAATCACGGAATATTTTCTATGACTTTTGCTCTGTCTCTTGGAGAGTGCGGGAGTCGAACCCCGCATCTATAGTACTGGCGTCCTCACCTCCCAATCTCTTTACTAGCAGAGTCGCATGCCTATTGGCCCAATCGAACACATCAAATGCGGTAAAAGGATTTCATCATTATTTCACGTTTTATAAGTGGCACCACTTTTGTTACGGCCTAAAGAATTAATATACTAAAAGACTAAATTACAATGTTGTCATCAGAGAGAGAGAGAGAGAGCTGTTTCAATGTACGTGCGTAACGTAACAAAGCTTAATTTCACTGTTTCCAAAAATTGGATATCACTCTAAAACTGATGAAAATAATTGCTAGTAAAGATACAGATGGAATTCTTGGCACGCTCGAGCTTAATTCTCTGCAGAATCTTCATTGCCCAGTCTTTTTTGCTTCCTTAACCTTCAGCTTAAAAGCGCTAACCAATTCCGTCTGCGCACTTGCCCGAACACCGGTCCGGCAAAACGTGGCAAAGTGCTCACAATTGTTATTGAAGAGGTCGTACTCGCCGAAACCGTCGCCCTCGTGAAGCTCCCAGGCCTTGCTCACGGCTTTGTCGGGCGATTTGGTATCGGGTAAGGTCGTGCGGGTCCCCCGTCTCGTCAGCCAATACTCCAACGATGGCCGCCCATATGCATATAAGTGGAGGGAACGGAGTTTCTGGCCTTCTCGCCGGAAGGAATCAAGAGAAGTCTTGTCAACTCCTGTTCTTGTGAAGTGAATCACATAGCCCTCTCCAATGTAGATTCCTATAAGAATCAATAGTGAGTATGTGCAATATAGAAAAAGAATCGATTTTCCAAATCGCTCGTAGCAAATAGCTACGTACCGTAGAATCAACTTATTAATAGGGAATGACAAGCGAATAGATGTGGGTCAATGAGCGAGAGAGAGGATAAACTTCGATCACGACCAACCACAAGTTTCAACATTTTATGTGATTTAATTGAGATGCGCTTTTATACCGACTAATATTGACCTTTCAGGAACTGCATAGAGAGAGAGAGAGAGAGAGAGAGAGAGAGGACATGGATTAACCAAGAAGGAATGAGCGGGTCCCAAAACCGAGGCAAATTTAGTCAATGTGATTAAAATAAAACTATTTTGGTGAAAAAAATTATTGGATGGTCCTGAATTTGCGTATTGGTCATGTTCCATGCTCCACTCCACTGATCGCCACTTTACAGATATTCT